TAACACTTTCTTTTAGTTCAGCTGTTATGTTTGGACTCAGGTTTTTTTATGCTGGCCAAGCTTCCCCATTGATTTGGGTCCAGGCTTGAAATTCACTGGCTTTCAACATTTGCTGTGAGGAGACAGGATCTTGCTTTTTCCAAGTGTTTGAAAGAGATACTGGTGTGTGTGTGTGTGTCTTTTAATAAACTCATTGGAAAAAATATTCACTACCTGTTTGGAGATGGCATCTGGATCCAGAAGATCAATTTATTTCTCATGGCAAATAAAGCAGACAAGTTAAAATTAGATTTATGTAATCTATGTGGCTGCACTGTATGATTTCACTCTTGCCTTTGCTTCAGCAACTATTATGAGAACAGTCCTTGGCAGGTCTTTTCAAGATGCTACCCAGGTTGATTTAAAGGGGCTTTCTCCCAGCAAAGTGGTCTTATGATTGCCCTGCAAAATTAGGTAGAGGGGAAGCCATAATCAGCCTCTGCATCATAGCAGCAAAAGAGACAAAGAAGGTTACACCACTTTAGAGACATGTCGCTGGATTATTTCCCTGTTTTCTTGGAAGTAAACCCTACCGATTTCAGTGTAAATGGACGGCCACAGTCCTGTGCACACTTCAAAGAAAGTTCAATTGAACAAAGTAGGACTTAAAGTAGAACTTCGGTAAAACATGCATCAAAGTCATGTGCTCCTATTGTATTTTTATCCCAGCCTTCCTGCCAGGGGTCATTTAATAGAAAAAGGTGCAGGAGCTCATTAGCAAAGCTCATTAGCATAATTCATTTGCATATGCCACACTCCCTGACATCACTGGAAGTTTGTCAGAAGGCAACACCCACCGCTCAGGCTCCACTGGACTCTTTTGGATTGCTAGCTAATGAGGGGGGGAATCTGTCCTCGCAGAGGAGGGAGAGCTTGTACCTGAATAAAACTTGGTCTTAAAGGTGCCACTGGACTGTTTTGGACCTTGGGGCTGGGGGGAGCTCTGCAACTTACCTGGCTGCTTCTTGCTCTGACTGAGGGCTGCTGGGAGCAGGGGGTGAGGCTTGTTGCATGTGCCCACCCCCTGGGTTCTTTACTGCCAGAACTCTGCTCCTGTGCGCTCCTGCAGGAAATGACCCCTGCTTCCTGCAAGGATTTCAGTGGTATACATTGTCCTGCTCTTACAACAACCTCCCCCTACGCCAATTTCATGACCTGGGGAAAGGCTCCTATTTGCCTCTTGACTCAACTTGTTCATGATGGAGTACATGAAGATTTCCCCATTGGGCAAACAATACTCCCCCAGGACAGTTTAACATCATGAAAATGGCATGTGGAGGGAAGTCATATACCCCTTCACCCTACATGCCGGGGTCCCACTCTGAAACAGGCCCATATTGCCTGAGCACTGAGTTCCTAGAAGGAAACTCACAAGACCATGTCTGACTGTCTTAATGTTGGACCCAGATGAGACTCAAAGACTGAGTATGGGGCCTCCCTGGTCCTAGTCTGACACTCTAACCTGTTGGCAGAGTAATTAACACAACAACGGTGCACAATCTGATTAAAGTGTAGATAAAGGTTTATTTAGGAACTAATATACTTGATAGTAAAGAGGAGCGATAGAGGTAGGATCCTCTAACTACATTTCTAGTGAGAGAGAGAGAGAGACTAAGTGTGGAACTTTTGAGAAGAAGTAGGATAGGATATTACCCTAACAGTAGCAATCTGGAGACAGACAAAGAATGACACTTAATAGGAGAGAAGGTGCTGACTTCTTCACTATCCTAATTGTCTTCTTGGTCCCCTCTGCAGGGTCTTCTTCTCTTCTTCTAGACATTGTCTGCTTCCAACATAACCAACTACATCATAATTCCCTGCTTTAGGGATTTCATGACATCTCTGCTAGAGAGGGAATGCTTGAAATTGCTTAGTCATCACCAATTGCTTAGTTATCACCAGCCAGTTTGGTATAGTGGTTAAGTGCGCGGACTCTAATCTGGGATTGCAGCTGCTGGATGACCTTGGGCAAGCCATAGTTCTGTCAGAGGTGTTCTTGAAAATAACAGTTTCTGCCAGAGCTGTTAAGTCGCTCGCTTAACAAAACAGTCAGAGAGTGATTCAGCAAGAACACAACTTTATTCTTCAACTCGAACACAACTCTAACACGGATCAACATCACATAGTCAGAACAGAACGGTTCAACTTCTCCATTGCAGTTGTTCTGCTTTTAAACATTCCCGACTAATATAGCCACGCCCACTGTATAGTTACCAACCAATGAGGTTGTTCCAATAAAGACCATCACAAGCGTTCCCGTTCAGGGAGCTTGCTGTGAAGTGATTGGATGTTAGTTCCTGGGCTAGTAACCTGATTGGATGTATTTGGATCCTAGCCCAGGACGAAGCTCAACATGGCAATTCAATTAGATGTTTCACAACACTATGCATTCAATAGGCAGCTCATTGAATACATTACAAGAGCTCCCTCGTCCCCACCTACCTCACAGGGTGTCTGTTGTGGGGAGGGGAAGGGAAAGGAGTTTGTAAGCCGCTCCGAGACTCCGAGTGAAGGGTGGGATATAAATCCAATTTCCTCCTCCTCTTCCTCTTCTTCTGCCTCTATTGGTTACAGAACTGAAAATGTGGTTGTAGACAAAGTATGCCTAATGTCCCAGAGAGCAGATGCTTACCCACATCCCAAAATGGCCATAGTTTTTAAAATGTGCCAGTTGTGCGTGTGTGTATTAACACTAGGGTGAACAATACCAGAACTCCCTGAGATGCAGAACACTTCTGTGAAGAGTCTGTATGGCCCCGTGCCTTGTTTAAAATGTTTTTACCTCTCTACTGTTCATAGTCTTCATGTAACATAAGAATTTTACTATGGTTTCCCTATAGACTGTAGCTTACTGACATGCTAATGGTACATGCACATGGTCTGATGCACCATCAGAACACATTTTAAATGAGAAAATGGGCCTGTGAAACTCTGCACTGGTAAATCCTCTGCTCATGCTCCGCATTTTCCATAAATCAAATCAGCTTTTGGAGTGCGACATCCAGAATCAGTTCACCAAGCTTGGAGTCAAGTTTGATCCTTTCTAATGTTAGGCAAGCTATTTTGCAATATTAAGTAACAATCTAGTATAATAAACTGGATGGCATGTAGAGGAGCCCAGTCCAAAATTCTGAGATCCATTTCATTATTTTGCTACATCTCTTGAGATCTAGGAGAGTTGAATTTGCAGAACTACTCTGCATTGAAGTGTCTTTACTTATTCTTTAATTTGTAAAGGCACTTTAATAACTCACATTGCAAAAGAATGGCAAAACCACAACGCCACAGTTGTTTCCTGAATGGTTGTTGAAGATGGAGATACTGGTTGGTTATGTATCATTGCCAAGCTCTGGTAGAGTGTCTGGGGTAGCGGGTGTTTTTTTATGGGGAATCAAGTCAGTAACACTTTCTGGTGGGCATGATGTGGCTGTTCTTCTCTGGTGATGTAGCAGTGCAATTGTATGCTAATAAATATTCCCATGTACCCATACATAGGACTGCAAACCTACTTCCTAGATTCAAAACCACATGCTCTGTCATCCAGGTATATAGCAATTCTCCTCCTCCCACACAGACCCAGCTTTCAGTAGATCCTATCCTGCAAGGTGTTTGAAATATGTCCTCAGAGAAATTCTGGGGAGAATAATTATCCAGTGCCTGATATTTTTATGTGGGAAAACACTCTTACAGGTCAGAACTTCACATAAATAAAATTTATTGGAGACAGGATCTAGCATGCTCACTACACTGTTTAGTAGTCAAATGTCTTTGTAAAATGGACAGTGTAGAAGGACATGCTTGATTATGTCTACCATTCCAGCCTAATAGGGACAAAGACGTTGTGCATCTGGGATGTGTACAATGTACATATCTCCAAGAAAGGCAGATGGGATATGGTTAAAACGGGCCAAGGTAAAAGCTCTATAATATCTGAGGAATTCTAATGTGTAGAGGTAATTTGGTGGAGTATAATTTCAGTCACTGTTCCCCACAACCGGAACAGAGTAGGCCCATGATCTGTCAACTTGGAGGGCTGTATCCCATATTCTTTGCTTAATTATTGCTCTGGCTTTTACCCTGTCCCCCCAAGATGCAGTAAGGCTGGCCAGGAGAAACTGTATAGTGGTAATTGTTCCTCTACTTCTAACCACAGTTTATATAAATCCATCTACTACCGATTCTGGGCCCCCATCCTGGACATTTACCCAGGGCTCCAAGCTCACTAAGACCCAGGCTGTAGCTACAGTGGGGCATCTCAGGGTTAGACCCCCCCCCCCAACTTGCTGGCAAGGCCCCCTGACTCCCCATCTAAGCCCAGGGTGTCACAGCCTTCTCCCCCGGATTAATTTGATTAGCCAGTGCCCCCTAAGAAATTTAAATGCCCCCCTGGCTTGAAAAATCCTAGCTACAGACCTGCTAAAACCACCCGTTTGAATATGGAGGTTCCCTATGCTCACCGTGCCTACTGGCCATTGATGGACCTGTCCTCTAGGAATCTAATTCCCCTTTTAAAGCCATGAGCAAATCTGAGGCTGCCATTTTAGACCAAGAAGTGAGTGTTAGTCTTTAAGGTGCTACAAGACTCCTTTTCATTTTTATTCGGGAATAAATCCAACGGACATTTGGCAATAAATGCAATAGAAACTGCAGTCAGCTAAGGAGCGAATATCAACCTCCTTTGCATGGTGAAAGCGAATCGTTAGAAGAAGCCTCCTCTGCGGCCCACCCTTGGGCAACCTGATGTTTCCACGACGCCTCGCCAGGTGGCAGCGAAGAGCAGAGGCGAAGCGGGCTCCTTGCACTTTTCTGATGATCTTTTTCGATTTCTTCCGGGGCGTAAAACCCCTAGAGTGTTCGGTTGCTGTGTCAGCAGCGAGCAAGTAGTGTCAACAGTGCTGCAGGCGGTGAGGACTATAAATAGGCTCAAGCCTGCCCTCAGTTATCAGGAGGCTGTTAAAAAAAGAAGAAGCGCGTGGTGTTCTCCTACTGTGCAGCCGCCAGCTGGCGAGGAGAACGGCGAGTCATTAGCTGGCGGTTCTGGTAAGGCGAACATTTTGGAGTTCATCTCCTTTTATATATAGCAGCCCTTTGGGCATGGGAGCTCGCACTGCCGCCCAGTTTCGTGTGCCAGTTTCAAAGACTTGTGGAGCAATACTTGTGGCTTACAAACTTCTCTGCAATAGAACAAAGTTTGAGTCCAGCGGCACCTTTAAGACCAACGAAGTTTTATTCAAGGTATAAGCTTTCGTGTGCAAGGCACACTTTTTCAGAGAGGTTGGAAGTGCAAAAAACGTTTAGCCCCCTCCCACGTTGCACCCCCCCTTCTCTCTGTATCTGAAGAAGTGTGCATGCGTACCAAAGCTCATACCTTGAATAAAACTTTGTCTTAAAGGTGCCACTGGACTCAGACTTTGTTTTGCTGCTTCAAACCAACACAGCTACCCACCTGAGTCTATTCACTCAGGTAAGCAGCACTGCAAGAAGAAAAGGATTGGGCCTGGCATTTCTCTGCTATTTTTGGAAGGCTTGCTCTTAGTATGATAGATTGGTGTGACTGTGACCTACTCAATTACAGTGTAGTGTATGAACAATCAATAAGTAGCTGGTAGTGAATAATTCCCATTTTCTCTCCAGTTAAACAAGTAACAACATTTGTTATTTTCCTTTTCCTCCTCAGCTGTAGTCTGCTGAAAAAGCTGTGTGGTTTGCGATGGGGTCCAAACTCTCTGTGGATGATTCGGTTCGTGTCCTGATCGTTGGAGGAGGCTTTGGTGGCATTGCCGCTGCCAGTCAACTGAAATCTTGGGGGGTCCCTTTTATTCTTGTGGATATGAGAGATGCTTTCCACCACAATGTTGCTGCCCTCCGGGCCTCCATCGACAGCGGTGATTTCACATTTGATCTTCCTTCATCATCCTATCTGGTCACTGTTTTAGTCTTTGTTAGGCTTGGCCTGTCAAGCCAGGATGGGGGGAAGAGGGGGGTACAAAATTCCATTGTCCCAATTTTCCCTGGTGGCTTGGGGGACCAAGCAAAGTGTTGCTGGGAGAAGATAGCAGCCTAGCTCTTTTGTGAATTTCTGAATGAATCCACAACTGGGCTCTCAGCAGCCATGTTTGGAGGTCTCTGATTTAGAAGGAAGGGCATAAAGAGGAAGTTACTGCCTTGCAAGCCCAGTTTTGTGATTTAAATGATAGCCATGCATGCTAACAAAATAAATACTGGCTCCACTGTCCACTCTTCATATGCTTTTAAAACACTGTACAGTTTTAAAATATCTCTCTCCATGCGCTGTTCTATTAATTTTTTTAAGGGATTTTAAATATATATATATATACACACTGTTTTCAAGAATTGGGGAGAAGAACTCTGTGGTGAGATCATGGAGGACAGCCTCTGACACCTATGCATAACCTGTCTGCACTTGAGACTTGTAGAACTCCCCCCCCCCCAAAAGCCCACCCCTGGAAAGGAATACAGGTACGTTTGGCTTGAGCATGGTCAGAACCAGGGGTCATTTGGGGGGGGGACGCGGGGGGACACCATCCCCCCGGCTGAGGTGCGGGAGGGCGGGGCCTGGAGCTCCCTGCTGGTGCCCGCTGGAGGTCGCTGCCGGCTGTGGGGAGGACACACTTCCGGTGATGTCAGGGGGTGTGGCATATGCTAATGAGTTATGCTAATGAGTCCCCCTAGCTCTTTTTCTACGAAATGACCCCTGGTCAGAACACTTCCAGATCGGCCTCACTGCTCTAAAATTGTACCTTTGCCCATAATCAGGGTCTTTTTGGGGGGGGGGGGACCCTTTCTGTGTCAGACAAGTCCCACATTATTCTGGAATTCTCCTTGGCCACAGTTTTTTCTCTCCAGTTCAAAGGGCATGCGGCCAAACCTCACTGGAAAGGAACCTGCCCTTACCAATCGGTATCAGCACCATCTCACACTATTTATTCTTCTCTCTTTCCAAGTGGACAGCATCAATCCAAGACCTAGAACAGAAGCTGGGGCTGGGTAGTGGTTTCCCGATCTGGCTCCTAAAGGGTGATGGCTAGAGCAGGTACCAGCAGGCAGCAATAAAGCATCAGAGCCAGAGGCTCTAGAATGGACCGCACCACTGTAGATGGCTGGGGGTGGATTCCAGCTTTCAAAGTACCTTTTCATTTTAAAAGTAGAAGTCAGAGAACAAGATGAGCAGTTTCTATTTGCAGGGAATTCTGCAGAGAACAACATCCCAAAATGTGATTTCTCTGTCTGCAGTCTGAGGTGATCCATTCTGCCACCTCAGTTCTCTTCCACCTCATTCTCTGTTATGTGTGTGAAGAGAGAAGAATGAGAGAAATGGAGAGGGCAAGATAAGGAGAGAATTCCCCTCCCATCTGACCTGTACATACCGTCCTACTCCCCCTCCTGTGAATGATGACATGCTCCTTGCTCTGCTTTACAGTGGGCGGGGGGTGGGTGGGGGGGTGGGGAGGAGAGGTGCACATGAGAAAACAAAGGGAAGCCTCTTCAGTCTTCCTCCTGTGATGGCGTTGCTAGGCAATGACTTCATGTGCTTACTCCTTGGGGCGGTGGTACAGCAGAGGAGCAGAAGGGAAGGAGGGAGGAAAAGGTAGAGAGCTAATAGCAGCTTTGGGAGCAGTGATGCAACCAGCATTGTCAGAAAGCCACAAGAGAGAAGATTCCTTGGCTGTTAGACCCCAGCCATCTTCTCAAGGGGGCCGGCCAGCTCAGTTTCTCATGAACCAGGACCCTGGGAGATAACCTCTAAGAAATCCAAGCAGATAATTGGCACCTTCTTCCACTGTCGTACTAATTCTTTTCAGTTAAGGTGTGGCTTTGTGACCCTGAATGTTGGGTTGGTGTTATACAATTTGCACATGTATTCAGTTCTTGACATGTAACTCCCCGTATTCTTACCCAATAGGTACCATTAATTGCTTAAATGTTTTATTTTGCAGGGTTTGCACCAAAAACCTTCATCTCCTATTCTGTAACATTTGGAGACAGTTTCCGGCAAGCCAAAGTGGCTAGCATTAACTTGGAAAAACAGCACGTACTGCTGCATGATGGTGAAGTGAGTTGGTGGTAATGTGGAAGCATTCTTTGCTTGAGAGAGCAGCTGCAGTCCTAACCAGAGTTGTTATTCTCTCTCCCTCTCTCCCCCTACAAGTCGGGTATAGTATCAATCAATTCCAACTAGGAATAAGAGGAAGAAAGGAAAAATTCAAGACAGAGAGAGCAAGCTATATCACATTAGAGAGGATGTCTTGTCACAGGCTGCCCAAAATCATATGGCCCAAACAAGGAATTTAGCTTTAAAGAAAGAATTTTCTGGGACAGAATTGAGGGAAATTTAGTAACTAAAGTATCTAAAATGTAGTAACTAAAATACTAAAAATGTAATAACTAACGTATCTCAGGAAAGCTCATTTTATTGGCACATAAGTGGTTTGATCCATTTCTCTCTAGCCACTTTATATAATGAGCATTCAAACAAAACATGTTTCACAGATTTGATAAGGACAATACAATATTATGGTGAAGTTATAACTAACCTATTAATTCAGATTTGACTACTGTGAATGTATAATGAATTTATTAATCCTGATCTGATTATTGCGAAGTGCTAAACATATATAACGGAGCAGGGTTGTAGACCACTGCAATCATTATTGCAGGTATTGCCTGTCTTCTTATGTGTTTGTTTGTCTTAAAATCAATACATTGATTATTAAAAAAAGTTTTTCTATTATAGCCTGATTCCATGAACTGGAGAAATTATTTTGTTTTTTGTAATATAATAAGATATTACCCTCAGAGAACATCATTTTAAGTTTCAGATTTAATGCCAGTATCTCTGGGCTCTTGGATTTAATGGAATGCTGGGCAAGTTCCAGTCTGGCAGTACCAGCCACATATTTTGAGATCCTGCAAATCTGACGTAAAAATTGTATTAGCAGCCAATCCATAATCTTGTTTATTTTATGAACCCAGATTGCTGCTCCATATAGTAATTAAGACAGCACTTTAGCATTTAAAGCTCTGATCAGTGCAGGAAGGTATTAGCCACCTTTCCTGTAGAAAAAGTGCTTTATTGCTGAGTGTTATATTCTTCTAAATCCGTTACAATCAGTAGGCTTAGAAGAATGTACACTCTGGTTGGGGTTGCATTGCAAGCCTCTGAGTCTTTTTTTAAATATTCCTTTTAGGAACTCTCCTTTTCTCATCTTATCCTTGCCACAGGGAGTGACGGATCTTTCCCTGGGAAATTTAACCGTATTGTTGACAGGCAGTCAGCCATTCAGACCTATGAGGACATGGTCAAGGAGGTGAATTACTTTGCTTATGCTTTCGTATCATGAATGTGGATGTATATAGGTCCAGTAAAGGGACACGGGATGTCTGCTGCGAGATAATAATTGGATGAGTTAAAATGTTTATTGTGGGAATTATGTGGTTGCACATTCTGGGTTCAAATTTCCTCAGCCAAGAACTGAGAGAGGGTGGCCTCTAGTGAAATGCATCCATACATTCTATGATCAATTCTGAAAATACCCTTTTTTAAAGGGGTCAGTAAAAATGGAAGGTAGCTTGCTGTATTTGTTTAGTTTTGGAGCACATCTCCAGGCTGGTAATGAAACATAAACATAACCAACTGGAAGGAAAGACCAGCATGAAAAATATGGTGATCCTCTTCAAACCCTTCCCCCCGACTCCTCCATCACATCGGGCAGCAAAAGCGAGTAACTTTTAAAGTATTGGTCATGCTTACAAAAGAGAGCCAAAGATGGTGGAGCAATTGGCCCTGAAGCTCACTGGGTGACTTTAGGCCAGTTATTCTTTCTCAGCCTAAGCCACCTCACAGGATTGCTTTGAGGTAAAATGGAATATGAGGGCACGCTGTATGCTGTTCTGAACTCTTTGGAACAAATGTAATAAATACCTAGGCCCTAAAACCACTTGAATTGTAAGTATAATGTCTGGATGAGAATTTTTATCACTCCAGAAGGATGGTCTATGTGTTATTAAATACAGAAGGTATACTGGCTGGCCCAAACACCTTGGGAATCTGCTTTCTTTAAGTGTCAGTCCTCCACTTAAAGGCAGGATGGGTTACCACCTTGAAACACGTTTAGCAGGGAAGCTGCTTCTCCTCAGACTTTGAGAGTTGTGAACATTGGGCTGCTGAGGACTGAAATTCTTTGGCTCTATCATAAGCCTCTGTGAATTTATGAAGGAAAGTCCTAGGCATCATTGCTGTGATTTTAATCTTGCTTCTTTCTTTAATTGTGAAAGGTTCAGGAAGCTCCTCGCTTAGTTGTTGTGGGTGGTGGTGCAGCTGGTGTCGAGATGGCAGCAGAGATTAAGACGGAGTATCCCACCAAAGAGGTAAAAGGTCAAGTTACATGACAGTCTATCCACCCATTAGTAGTTGTTCTTCCTACATTCACGCTTGTTCTCCAAGGAGGAACTAAAATGGCCGTATTTTTAGGAGTATCTATACTACTGAGCTGTGTTTATTTTATACTGGTATAACTGTCATAGCTTCCCCCAAAGAATCCTGGGAACATTCATTTGTTTGGGATGCCATTAACTCCACTCACCAAACAGTAGTTTGCTGGGAAGGGACAAAGTCTGTTGAGAGTGTAGATATGCCCTTTTGTTCTCATAACTTCTGTTCTCACCCCTTCAGTAGTAAATCACAAAATGGGAATTGGTTCACTGCTTATAGCTCATGGTTTTCCTCAGTGCATTTGTCTATAAATATAATGATGGATGCCACAACTTTGCCTGATGTCATTTTTTTTTTTTTGCCTTAATAATAGGTTTCTTGAGGATAGCTGGATATAGTCTCCAGAGAAACAGAAGGTCTTTTTCCACTCTGGTCACTATCATTTAACTTAATTAATGCACTGGTGGAGCCAGCATTAATCTGAAAAGTTGCATGATTTGTGAGTTCTAGAAATGTACATGTTCCTATGTTGTAATAAATGCATGGGTATTTTTATTAAGGGCTGCTAATATGGATCTTGTCAGATCTTCGAAGCGACGCAGGGTCAGTCCTGGTCAGTATTTGGATGGGAGACCACCAAGGAATACCAGGATCACTACACAGAGGCAAGCAATGGCAAACCACCTCTGAACATCTCTTGCCTTGAAAACTTTATGGAGTCACCATAAATCAGTTGCAGCTTGATGGCACTTCATACATGCAATATGGAGGGTCTGAAACTGATTTTTCCCCCACAAGCTGAACATATTTTGCTTGGTGTTTGTGCTTCCAGGTCACACTTATTCATTCAAAAATTGCATTGGCGGATGTAGAACTCCTCCCTAGTGTTCGGCAGAAGGTGAAGGAGATTCTTATCCAGAAGGGAGTACATATCTTGTTGAGTAGGTACCTAACTGGGTTTGTTATGCATATGTAGTATTCCGCTGGGTATCTTGGACTGTCCCCTAGCTGAAGGGAGCTTTTCCGGGGCATTTTCCTGTATTTTTTATTTTATGTTTGTTATAGTCTGCCATTCTTGCTGAGTCTCAGTGTAAAACAGTGCAATCTATGCCAGCATAGTGTAATGTTTAATAGCAGTGGACTCTAATCTGCAGAACCGGGTTTGATTCTCCACTCCTCCTGCACATGAAGCCTTCTGGGTGACCTTGGGCCAGTCACAGTTCTCTCAGAACTCTCTCAGCCCCACCTACCTCACAAGGGGCCTATTGTGGGGAGAGGAAGGGAAGGAGATTGTAAGCTGCTTTGAGTCCCCTTAAGGTTGAAAGAAGTGGGGTATAAAAACCTTCTCTTTTTCTTCTGCAGTCCGATAGCATAAGCAACCAGTGCACAGTTACAGGCAATACCTGCAATAATGATTGCAGTGGTCTACAACCCTGCTCCGTTATAAATGCGCCCTCCTGGACCGCTTCATTCTACTACATTTCTTATCTCTTTTAAAAAATGCCCTCTTGAAGATTATGGTTTTCCACATTCTGTGGAATGATGCAAGTGTAGGAGACTTCCTGACCTCGTCAGGCTGAGCCACAACAGAGAATGCGTGTGAACAGGTAGTTACTAAGCCTACCCGTTTGCAGGATGGCGCTGTGAGAAGGCTTTGCTTGGGTGCATAAAGCTATCACAGCAGAGTATAGTGGGAGAGATGGTCCTGCAGGTATGTGGGCCATCAAGGGCTTGGAGTGATAACTGGAACCTTGGAATTTGGAAACCGATCAGTAACCAATGGCGTGTCCATAGAATGGCTGTGACATATGTGCTTTGCCTACTGCCTCATAGTAACAGTAACAGCAGCATTCTAACACCAACTGGAGTTTCTGAGTTGTCTTCAAGGGCAGAGCCACGTAGATTGCTTTACAGTAGTCTCGCCTCAAGGTAACTGTATCATGAATCCACGTTGGCCAGATCAGCTGAGTCAAGGTAGGGGGCCATCCTCTGGGCTAAAAGAAGCTGGTAGATGGTCTTTTTTTGCAGATGCATTGACTTTGCTTCTCTAGTAATAGTGCTGGGTCCAGTATAACGCCTAAGCTTGTCGGCTGGACCCCATCAAAGGTGCTTGTAAGAGTTGCTTGAAATAAGACTGGCAGCTCTATCCTAAGCAGAGTTATACCCTTCTAAGTCCATTGACTTCAGAGTCCTTAGTGTTGGAGTGACTCAGCCTACCTGGACATTGGGGGGCGCTATGTCCCTCTAAGTGTGTATAGGTGTTATCTCCTTGAATGAGACGCCTCTGTCTGAACCTGGCAGCTGCTCTCTGATCCCTCCTCTCACTTTGTCCTCTCACTCTCTTTACATGACCTTCCCCGTAGATACAATACCCTCATAGTCCCACACACATGATGCCAGACAAGCTGACCTGGGGTCCTACCTGGCAACTGCTGGGAGGGCTCCTGTGTCTGGTCTGGGATCTTCTGGGATGTGTCAGCACGTCACCTTTCTGTCCAGTTGGGGGTGGGATTTCCTCCACTGGTCAGCTGGTCGTTGTCAGGGAAATGCCCTGCAAAAGTGGGGGTTTCCTCACCCACGGCGGGGTCTGGCAACCCAAAGCTGGCCATTTGTGATAGGGCAAATACTCTTTAGATTAGGCTTATTTGTTCTTTTGCCTGCAACCTGAATGTGAACGGAATCTACTTGAATAAATGTAAATTTATCTTTTTTGCAATACATTTCTTGGGAGATTTATTCACTCAATTCAATACTATGCTTCTATGACTGGGCAAACTCTGCTATATGAACCAAATAGGATTGCAGTCTCCATCTGAACTGTTTATACTTAGTATAACTTTCATTGCTGGTCACTTAAAATACATTTGAATGAGGCTCAGCTGGCCTGTATTTTAATGTGATGTGCATAAAAATGCATGTGCGTATCATTTAAGTTGAGATATAGACACTTCAAATTGAAACATGCAGTGTCTGTATTTTGGAATGATAACAGAATACAGAAAAATTCTGTTGGGAGGTGACTTCTGTGGCAGAGGTTAGATGTAATGGGAAGTTTAATTCATCCTGCTTTTCTCTTTATTTCCAATTGCTTAGTAAGAGAGCAGTGTTCATTCTGACGGAAAGTTTTCTCAAGAGCTGTGTGCTGTTTATAGCCCTCCCCTTGGCTACAGGAAACCCCTCCCAACTTCACTGTACTTTCTGAACTTTAATCGCGTATGCTCACTAAGATATTTTCAAAATATTCCCTTGAACTTGGATGACTAGTAATAATTATCCTTCATTGCTGAAGTGGAAGCTGAGATTTAAAACAGTATAATCAGAGTATTACAGTGTTCTCCTAAACAGACTTGGAGCTATCTTGGTCCATTGAAGTCAGTGGGCTTGGAAGGACTTTTGTTGTGTTAAAAATATCTCTTTAAACAATGAGGCTCAATGGGTAGCCTTTGGCCTAGTGTCTTAAAATATGAGAGTCTTAGTAGTATCATGGTCTCAGGGATCCAATGAGGTGTGAGGTTTTGTTTTGTTTGTCTGACTATAACAGGTGAGAGAGTTTCCAATCTGGCTATGCTGACTTTAAACCAATTCAAGGAGAATATGACAGTGAAGACTGACAAAGGCACAGAGATTGCTACTGACATGGTTATTCTCTGCACTGGAATAAAGGTCAATTCATCAGCATACTGCAGCACATTCTGTAAGTTATTTTCCCACTTGCTTCTCCACCAGTAATTCTGGACTCAATATGTCTTATCCAAGACAGCGGGGTCTGCTGAACCTCACTGACAGTGAGAAGCACACTGACCTTCAAGACCTCAGCCTTTTCAAGTAGCATTACTTCCATCTTGTCAGGATTCAGTTCAGCTTGTTCATCTGTAGCCATTTAACCACACAGTCACTCCAGATCTCTGTCATATCACCAGGAGATTTAGATCGAGAGATAATAGAGCTGGATGTTAGCATGTTGTTGACATCCAATTGCAAAACTATAATTTCTCCTAGGGGTTTTACAGAGATGGAATAGCATGGGGGACAGGACCGTACCCTGTGCAACTCCACAGGACAAGTCCCACACCGATGAGAACTGGTCTCCAGTGGCAACCCTTTTAGTCCTGTCCATAAGGAATGATTTAAACCAATCCAAAGCACATGCCCTGATATCTACTTATGCCTTCAAATGTCTCAGTGAGATGACGTGGGCCACTCTATCAAAGGCTACAGACAAATCCAGTAGGAGCATCAAAGGGATCTGCCTTTGTCTACATTTAGATAGATGTCATCAACTAAAGCCATCAGCAGCATCTCCATCCCATAGCCCTGCTAGACTGAAAAGGGTCCAGTGCAGATGAGTTATTGAGTACCTAGAGTTGGTCCTCCACTGCTCTCTCAGTCACCTTGCCTGGAATCAGCAACTGATTCATGATGGACTTCAAGGACTCATTATTTATTTATTAGTTCAATTTATACCCTGCCCTTCCTGCCAAGGCAGGCTCAGGGTGGCTAATAATGTGGTCTTTCCATGATTTTAGCAAGTAGGATGGACAAGGATCTGGAGGACAAGTGGTGACCTTCGCAGATCCCAAGATCCTGGCTATCACAGCAATTCATGTTGCTGAAACTTGTTTTCTAAAAATGTCATCATGAGCCCAAGAAAAAGATTGTGAAATATTTTTGAATTTGTTTCCTCAAACTGTAGAGATGTGTCACATATTTTTCTGTTTGAGTTCTTTAAAAACTTTTATCAGTCTGTTGATGTATATTGGTGTTGTTGTTCAGTCTCACAGTCGAGTCCGACTCTTTGCAACCCCATGGACCACATCACGACAGGCCCTCCTGTCTTCCATTGTGCTTTGGAGTTTGCTTAATTTCATGTTCGTTGCATGTATATACTAAGCCAAATTTCCTTCTCTGTGCCGATACTTATTTCCGCCAACAAAGGGCTCACTCTTCCTAAACTGCTTTTTCTACAGACTCAGGGGACTCCCTCATTCTGCAGAAAAATCAAAAAGTTAAAAAAAAAACTTGGGGAGGGTTGAATTCCCTCCAATACCTTTTGAAATGGCCTCTGCAGGGATCTTCTCCAGGCATCAACAGTGAGAGAGAACGTTCTGGGGGTGGGGGAGGCTTCTAACTGGCTCTGTCAGTAAAAGGTGGGGGAGGGGCAGGGCCCTGTCCAGGACTATTTTGGCCTTTGAGGGAGGGAGTCTTGGGGCCAGGCCTGACAAGGGTTGCCAGTGCCAGGCTGGGAGATTTTGTGGTGGAGTCTAAGGAGGGTTGTGTTTGGGGAAGGGAGAGGCCTCAGCTAGGTATAATGTCACAGTGTCCACTCCCCAAAGCAGCCGTTTCTCCATGAGAAATTATCTCTGTAGTCTGGAGATGAGCAGTAATTCCAGGGGATCCCCAGGTCCCACCTGGAGGCTGGCATCCCTAGGCAGCAGCCTCTGGGTGACTTGTAGCCCCTAATTTGCATGACTCAACTAGGCCTGGCTGCTTGCTACTCTTCAACAGTAGCCATCCTATGAAAGCCAGTGTGGTGCAGCAGTTAAGGCTTCAAAGTAAGGTCCGCAAGACCCAGGTCCAGACCCCCATCTTGCAGTGAAATCTGACTGGGTGATTTTGGACCAGTCACATACTTTCAGCCTAACCAACCTCACAGGGTTGTTGTGCAGATAAAAAGGAGACTGATGTAAGCTGCTTTGGTCCCCACTGTGGAGAAAGACTGTAATTTTCCTAGGTAGAGACAGTGGGGGAGGGGGGTGGAGATGGAAAGCCGAAGACAGAGGCAGATAAAGGTAGATTGGCTGTTGGGTGGAAAGGAAATAGGGTTACCAACTCCAGGTTGGGAAATTCCTAGATATTTGAAGGGTGGAGGCTAGGGAGGGTGGAGTTTGAGGAGGGGAGGAACTTCAGACCAGTATAATGCCATAGACTCCACCCTCCAAACCAGCCATTTCCTCCACAAGAACTACCATTGCCAGCCTCCAGGTGAGGGCTGGAGATCACCCAGAATTACAACTGTTGTCCAGGTGACAGATACCAGTTCCCTGGATAAAATGGCTGCTTTGGAGGGTTGAGTCTATGGCATTATACCCTGCTGAGGCTGCTTGCCTCCCCAAGCCTCACTGTCCCAAGGCTCCACCTCCAAATCTCCAGAAGTTTCCCAATCTGGAGCTGGCAGCCTTTAGGCGAATTGATCTCTGTAGCTGGGAGATCCATTCTGATTCCCGGAGAGCTGCCACTGTTGCTGTGGTGGGGGGCAAGGAAGCAGGTGGATGGCTGGGTAGGTGGTGGTGGTGCTGCTGCTGTATGGGGTGGGGGAGGAAGCAGGCAGGAGGCTGGGAGAGTTAAGAGGGCAGAAAGAGTGATGAGGTGAGGAGGCAGAAAAACAAAGACAATGGTGAGGGGGCAGAAAGAGAGAGGAAGTAACATGCATGAAGAGGAGACAGTAAGAAAAGAGAGTATGAGGGAGGTAGGAGAGGGGACGAAGCAAAGGTGTGAGGAATGGGATAACCATCCTCCAAGTTTCTTGCAGGTCTCCACTTAGGCCTGCCAAATCTCGCCAAATCACGGCAGGGGATCTGCATGTCTTTGCAGAATCCTTGCCGCGGGGACGGCGAGACGCGTTGCACTGCCGTCGCCAGGACATGAAGCTATGCGTCGCTCTGGTAACGGGGCTGTTTGGAGCCCGTTGCCAGAGCTACGCGTAGTGTCAGATCCTGGCGACGGTGGGTGCAACGCGTCTCGCTGTCCCTGCGGCAAGGATTCTGTGAAGACCTACGATCCCCCGTCGCGACTTGGCAACCCTGTCTTCACTTGTAAATACTAATAAGAATGATTCACCACCGCTATTATTAAACCTGTTGGAAAGTATACAGAGCACCTGATAAGAGGACTCTGTGTCTGAAGCTGGCATTTACAGGATCATTTTATCTGCATCCTGCATGCCACCACTTGGCTTTTGTCAAAGTTTCAAGTAATTTAATTACTTGTTCCAAATTAAGCATAGAAGGCTATCATAGATAACAGAAAACAATGGTATTACTTTGTTTTTTTCTTTGTGGCATTCTCATTGCATTTGCTATTAATATTGGTCAGTTCATTGGACCACAAAATGATTCCTTCTTTTCCTTCTCAGCTGACAAGATGGCAAGTGATGGTGCTTTGAAGGTGAATGAACACCTCCAGGTGGAAGGATATGATAATGTCTATGCCATTGGTGACTGTGCTCATGTCAAGGAGCCAAAGATGGCATACCATGCTGGGCTTCATGCAAATATTGTGGTGACCAACATTATCAACAGCCTGACACAAAAACCTCTGAAAACCTACAAGCCAGGTAAATGAGCTGCAAAGGCATGTGACAGATCTCTGATGTTTTTTCTTTCTAACATCTACTAGGTACAAATGGGCATGATTTTGATATGACCATGTTTAGCTTTTTAAAGAAATAATTGCCTGACTTGCAGTTTGACTATGTATACTTGTGGCAATACTTGCAGCAATTTCCAAAATTACACCAGAGTTCTTTTGGGGCTGCTATAATTGCAAGGATTTCCCAGGAGTCACAGCATATTTTTGTAATGCTGCTTCATACAGTACTTTCTTGACACAATCTCTTATCTGGTTCTAGTGGTTTTTGTAAATAATCTTTTTGTCTCCCATTTAGGTTCACTTACCTTCCTGCTTTCAATGGGAAAGAATGATGGAGTGGGTCAAATTAATGGCTACTATGTGGGATGTTTTATAGTGACTCTCATCAAAAGCAGGGATCTTTTCGTCTCAAAGAGTTGGAAGGAGATGGGACAAAGAATGCCTTGCTAAAATGCAAAGGATGGGGTGCTGCTGAGAGAAAAATGAGAGAACAAATGGTGCCAAAAGGAGTATATTATTGAAGAACATTGAGGGGATGAGGCCAGGGTATTGTTTTTTTTTTAAAGGAAATGCGCTTTGCTCTTTGGTAGGTCTCTCTTGTTTGATTGGGCTTAGAAAGTGCATTTTCTTAGAGGCTCTGGGATTTATTTTTACTATATAGTTCATGGGCCAATATGAATGTTGTAAAAAGCGGAATGATTTTTTTTAGTGATTTAAAAGCAAGCAGCAAACCATGAGCTAAGTAGGAATGATGTTCATCCCACATGGAGATTGTGTTTAATATTTTGTGGCACATTGGTCCTGTGTTTCCTGTTTTCTGTGTTGGCCCGAATCTAGCTGTTCTCAATGGAAGTGGTTTGCCATGATATAATGTATTTGTATAATTAGTTCTTCCTCCATGAGGTACCCCCAAACATGCTGGTTTCTATAATGTATGAAACCATCCATTCTTTTAAAGCAGTTTTATTCTTTGTTTCTGTGATGCCAAAAATGTGTATCTGTTGATTACTTTTTATTTTAGGGAGAAAGTTATTACTGAAAAAGTTCTAAACCTTGCAGTAAAGGATTACCCATTTGTTGATAAAAAAAGGAATCATGATGAACTATTCCCAGAAATCATGGGGTAGGGCACTCCAGTGAGTTCTCTTTAATATTTTAAGATGCTGTATAGGCACAGATTGTGATCCAACAGTGAGAAAAGGGCATTATAATAAGAATGTTCTTTGGCAACCTTGGCCATTGTTCTGTGAAATATCTAAAACAAGAATACTGCCAAACTTCCAGGTGCAATTGCCTGAACGCACATGTTGCAGACTTTAGCCTAAAATGAGACATGCAAAGCTTGTAAAAGTGCTGAGAAATTCTTACTTGAAAGTACGTTCTCTGGAAAATAATTGCTCCAATCCAGCTAAACTTGGCCACCAAAAATATTTGTTTATTTGGCTCTTATGGATCCCTACGTTTTGTTCAAGGTGACAGAAGCTTTTGATAAAGTTCCTCATCAAAGGCTCCTAAGTAAGCTCAAAAATCATGGGATAGAAGGACAAGTCCTTTTATGGATCAAAAACTGGCTAATTCATAGAAAACAGAGAGTGAGTATAAATGGGCAATTTTCTCAGTGGAGGGTGGTAAGCAGTGGGGTACCGCAGGGATCAGTACTTGGTCCACTGCTTTTTAACTTGTTCATTAATGATTTGGAGATGGGAGTAAGCAGTGAAGTGGCTAAATTTGCGGATGATACAAAGTTGTTCAAGGTGGTGAAAACCAGTGAGGATTGTGAGGCACTCCAAAGGGATCTGTCAAAGATGGGCAAGTGGGCGTCAACATGGCAAATGGGGTTCAATGTGGCCAAGTGCAAGGTGATGCACATTGGAGCCAAAAATCCTAAATATAAATACACATTGATGGGGTCTGAACTGGCAGAGACAGATCAAGAGAGAGATCTTGGAGTTGTAGTAGATAACTCACTGAAAATGTCGAGACAGTGTGTGACTGCAATAAAGAAGGCCAATGCTATGCTGGGGATTATTAGGAAGGGTATTGAAAACAGATCAGCCAATATAATAATGCCCCTATATAAATCAATGGTGAGACCTCATTTGGAATACTGTGTGCAGTTCTGGGCACCACACCTTAAAAAGGATATTATAGCTTTGGAAAAAGTGCAGAAAAGGGCAACTCGAATGATAAAAGGGTTGGAACACTTTCCCTATGAGGAAAGGTTAAAGCGCTTAGGGCTCTTTAGCTTGGAGAAAAGACGACTGAGGGGTGACATGATCGAGGTTTATAAGATTATGCATGGGAAAGAGCAGGTAAAGAAAGAGGTACTTTTCTCCCTTTCTCACAGGGAATTAGATAGGCATATGGAGCAGAGGTCCATCAGTGGCTATTAGCCACAAGGTATAGATAGGGGCTCTGGGGCAAGTGATGCTCTGTCTTCTTGGTGCTTGGGGGGGTCAACAGTGGGAGGGCTTCTAATGTCCTGGCCCCACTGCTGGACCTCCTGATGGCACTAGTATTTTTGGCCACTGTGTGACAGAGTGTTGGACTGGATGGGCCTTTGGCCTGATCCAACATTGGCGTCTCTTATGTTCTTATGTTGGTTGTAACCAACTTGTACTGGTTTCATTGGGAGGTAGTTATGACTGGTTTTAGCCAGATTGGAAAAAATGATGGCCGCACCAGGAACAAGGTGCAAGGTAGAGTTTATTTGGCTCTTATGGATCCCTACGTTTTGTTCAAGGTGACAAAGCTCATAGTGAAACATACAGGGATCCCCAAGAGCCAAATAAACTCTCTACCTTGCACCTTATACCTTTTTGTCTTTTTAACCAGATTGGGCCAATATTTCTTACTTCTAAGTGGAAGTAGGTAGTGTGGTGTTTTGTACTCAGGATTCTCCATTAATCATAAAACCTGTATTCTCCCTTTTCACCATAATGCAAACATTGAAAACCAAGACATTGCCTTTCATGGGCAATGCCTTCTGTGCATGGGATTGAGGTCTAAGTATCACAGTTTTGTCTGTGTGTATGCAAGGAAATGGGCCATTTTGTCTAGATTTTAGAAAATGGGTGAGGGGAATGATGACTGCAAAGGGGCAGCCACGTTAGGAGAATAATGCCATGATCCACTGATAGACTGTTACCCAGTTTCCACTGGAACATCTGCAGCCTCTTGGTTGCTGAGAATCTTGCAAAGAATGCTGAACTAATAGGACGTTGGCTTGATCCAACAAGGTCATACTTATGCTCCTGAGCAAGAGTTTAGCACGTAGCACAGATAAATTGTTAGTAGACTCCTGCTTTGTAGATTTTAAACACACCTGTGGACCACAGACTTGGTTTTTTTCTTTAAGTACACCATGCAAGAGCATCACTTGATAATACAAGAGCTAAACTCCATTTAGGATTTAGATTTCTTTTGAGTGAAAACTGACTTTCCTTTGAAGGATTTGTACAATGCAGCTGTAGTGGCCAGGTAGAAACCCCTGTTTTCTTCCACTTTTCTCAAGAAAGATTTCCTAGCTTCTACTGTTATCTTTTGGAAGGATTCAAAAATATTCCTTTGCTTCTGAATGTGCCACTGCAGCAAACTACAGGCCTATCTCAGCACATCGTCTTCGTCTGGGAACTTGACAGCATCAGAGCGGTGAACCAGCTCTGCCTGGATCAATGCGGGACTGAGAATACAATGGGCCTCTTCCTTCCACATCCTGAAATAGCAGCAATGGCCCCGGGGCAGGGGAATAACTGCTGTTGGGGAACTGTGGCAGGGAAACTGGGGGGGGGGGATGCCATGTGGGAGAAATGATGAAAATAAAGCTGGAAATACTGCACATCAGCAATGCTGAGCAGCAGTACTCCAATCTGCAAAGAATAGGGCACAGGCAACACAGCAGAAAGTATCGCTGGCCAAAAGTCTAGGCACTCTTACTAGAAAGTAAGTCTCACAGAACTCAGTGAGACTTTAGAGTAAATGTAAAGACTTGTTAAACTTTTTTTTTAATCATGGGAGGGAACGGGAAGAGACACCATACTGCATTACAACAACACAATCCTGAACACTTACAGGCTTGTATTGCTTTAGCAACTTGGAGAAAACTCAATTCTGTGCCCTTATTCTTATAAAGACAGCAGACGAGAGCAGGAAAGCGGAAGTGAAAGTATCAACGATGATGCTTTGCTTCATTCCTTATAGACTGCCGTGAAAACACAGTACTTTGCAACTGAGATGATAATGCTTTCAAAACAGCAGAAGAATGTTCATCACAGTGGTCTGCTGCATTACAATTACCACACCTCTTTTTAAAGTGTTCCCCAGAGGGCAGAATACCCCTGCTTCCTTCTCAGTCTAATTCTGTAAATCTGAATATCTTCCAATGGCAAATGACACATCAGAGTTGAATTTGACATCACTAACTGGAATAATCTTTTGGTCCCCAGTGACTTCTCTCTGCTCTACATTTTACATCTGAAGTAAGATATATATGGAAATGTACATTAGAGAAATAAAGCTACAGTTTTTAAAAAGCACAATGCCATTTTTAATAAAAACAAATAAGATGAAATATTCTCAGTAATTACAGGTCATCCTGGGGTAAAACAGTAAAGCACCAAGTGAACTCTCTGAAATTACGTTCTCCAATATGGAATGTAGACACAACATAATGATTTCTATCTACCACTGGGAAAAGAAATGGGAGCAAACAATTCATGTTTTAAGTATTTGTATGCATTGAATTGTTTGCTACTCTAAAATGAAATTCATTTAAAAAGGTCTAAACTAAAATAACTTGAGACATAAAGAGAGAGCTGGCAACTTAATCTCTTAGGGATGAAACAAAATGTTAGGTTGTCTAAAGCATGATAAAATTGCAGGTCAAACATTTTTCCTCTCTTTTTCCCGTAACAAAAGCCCTCCACCCATCACAGAATTTTGAAGCTACTCACATACTCCTTCCTCACAATATTTTAAAAATAAAACCCACTTCTAATTCTCAATCCTACTCAAATTTATGTTGAAAAATAAAATTTCATTTGGCTTCTGTTGCTACTTGGCATCTAGTTTTGCCATCTCTTGCACATAGATGCCAATGCTCTCACTGTCAAAGAGAAGGAAGTAAATGTTCTTCAAGGACGAAGGGCTGGAGTCATCAAAATGGGAAGAAATGGCTTTGAGAGTCACCTGGGCAGCAGTCTGTTTTGGAAAGCAATTTCTAAAGATAAGAAAAAGACCAGCATTAAAGCTTGTAAGTAAAGCATCAACCTGAAATCCCTTGAGTTAATACTAGGCCATACAGTACTTAACCTCTATATTAACTGCAGAGTCGATATTTGCAGATTTCTCTGCCCTACCACTGGGCACCCCTATGTTGCAGCAGCACTTTGATGGATCTACATTTTCTGAAGCACCAATGAAAGCAGTTTTCCCTGCTGCCTGGGCAGATCAGTACATGGTGGACAGAGAATCTACAGTGGATTCTGGGCAAAGACAGATAACTAAGAGGCAAGGGGCCTTGGCCAGAGATGAAGTAGATAGATACAGTTGGTCACAATTAGACAAGAATGGCTGGATCAGCAACTGCATGTGATTTCAAAAACAGATAATTAGACCTTATTAAAAGTCATATAAATGAGAGGGAAGGCCAAGGACCAAGATAAGGGGCAGCTAGCTGGCACTTTTATGATAGTGGAATGAAGGTCAAATCAATCAGGGCCATGCATATAAGTGAGGAGGGGCTACCAGACCCTACAGCTCCACACAGGTGATCACAGTATTTTAATATTTCACCGGGAATGCTATAGTCCTTGAAGGCAGTTCTGATAATTTCATACCAATCAAACTCTGAAGTCAGCCACAGAAGTCACTAGGCAATGTATCTTATGGACATGGTGTATTTTTGTATATATCTGTAATTTGTTTATTTTAATAATTATTATTATTTTATTATTAATAAAAAAATTAAAAGAACATTCTGACAACCCTTAAGATTTTTCATATACTGAAACTGCCCTGCGTATTTACCCATGGAATGCTGAAATTAATAATTTTGTAATAATAATTAGGCCATTTTCTACAAATGACTTAAATGGGAGGACTTAACAAAGGAGACACATACCTGCCACTGGGGAGAGGTGGAAATGCCACAGACTTCAGCTTCTTGTCTTCAGCTGCAGTTAAACAGTTCTTTATGGACTCCTCCAACTGTTCTTCACATTTATCTGAACCCCACTGTGGGATGTGACAGTGAATGACAAACTTTGCTGCTAGACCAGTAGACTGGCTAAGAGCAGCTGTGGTAAACAAACAACCAAAGGGAGGAAGGAAGAGAAACCAAAGGTAAGTTAAAAACAAAACCCTTTTTTGCTGTTTTTCTGTATTACTGAAAAGGAAAACAAAAATCACATGTATGTTGAAAATGAGACATGACTACATTAAAACATCACAAACACTTTTAAAGAAAATACGTGCACAAAATATCACTCCCTTGTGTGGATAAACACAATTCAAAACTCAGTCTGGTTACCCCTGATAGATAATTGCAGGTACCTAGGTCAACTTGAGCCAGTCCTTCTGTGCTAACCTGGATTCTAAACCAGAGTTTAAACAAAGCTTAGAATCCCAGTTTACGAGAGAAAACCAACTCCAGCCATCTTACACTGGTGTGCCTCTATTAACTTTACGTATAATCTTAAAGACAGCATTTAATTCTGTCACACTGCAGTCACCTGTGGGATGGAAATGGCTTGCCACAAAAGAGCTGCAATTTATTTTAAGTAATTTAGCATATAAAATCATGAAAGTGCCTGCTAACTTTGACAAATGAGTTGATGGAGTATGGTACTACTGGTAGGATTCTATTTCTAACTGTCTGGTCTTGAATAAGATTAGAGGCCTGGGTCTAGACATGCAGCAGAATAAGGTGGCAGAGCGCTGAGGTGCTGTACCTCAGTCCTGTACTAATGCAGGGCAGGGCTTACTTTTTACAACATTCCCCTACATTAACAATTCCCTGTCAGTGGAAAACTAGTACAGCACATGAAGGGCTAGGCTAGAATCCCTCTCCCTGATGTGTTCAATTCTCATTTGCAGAGAGTTGTTACATAGGGAAGCATTAAGAATGTGACCTCTCCAACTGGAGCATGGAAGTACAAGAATTCTACTTCTTTCTGCTGCATGTGTAGAACATGCCAAAGTTATCCACAGGAAGCCATCTGCAGAGGAGATCACAACAATTAAGTTTTGGGTTGTACCTGTACTCAAAAGACACAAAATAGTTCTTGCGTTGCTTTGCCATACCTGAATACACAAGAAACACCACAAAAAGGTACAGTCTGGTGATCACTATTTCCTTTAGCTATTTTTAATCTTAAAAATGGTAATAAAGAAAATTTATTCAAGGATAAGTTGTGTCAGAAGAAAGGTCTGAATATTTGGGAAGAAGATATTTGTGATTAATAAAACAGTTACAGAAAATAAAGATGTTACCTTCTGTTACTTCTAGAGGTCCTTGTGACTTGCGCAGTTCCTTTACTGTTTCTAAGAACTCTTTACCTCCAGCCTTTTCCAGCGCTTTACCTGAAAAAGTGAAACAAGGTCTCTAACTGAAATGAATACAGCTTTCAAATAAAAATACACATCTAGCCTTTTAAGAAAAAACAGCCACGTCTCAACAACTTTTCTGTGGCCTAACATTCCTTTACCACTGATAGAAGTAGACCTGGAACCTCAGTTTTCAACTTAGTTTATGGATTATAATGGTATTATTGTCTTAAAAGAGTGGTGAAAAGGCATGAGCCAGAGTATGTTTTAACTGCAATCCATTTTTGGACAGTATAATAAATGGCATTGGGAGGGAAGGTGGCATGGTATAGCCTGATCTTGTCAGATCTCAGAAGCTAAGCAGGGTCAGTACTTGGCTGGGAGACCATCAAGGAAGAATCTGCAGAGGAAGGCCGTGGCAAACCACCTCTGCTTCTTGCTTGTCTTGGAAGTCCCTTGCTGGGGTTGCCATAAGTCAGCTGCGACCAGACAGCACGGTACACACGCACAGAGAGAGAGGAGAAGAAGAATTGCATTTATACCACGCCCTTCACTTGAAGTCTCAGAGCAGCTTACAATCTTTTCCCCTTCTTCTCCCCACAACAAACACCATGAGGTAGGTGGGGCTGAGAGAGCTCTGAGAGAACTGTGACTGACCCAAGGTCACCCAGCTGGCTGCACATGGAGGAGTGAGGAATCAAACTTGGTTCTCCAGATTAGAGTCCGCCACTCTTAACCACTACACCAAACTGGCTCTCTTAACCACTACACCAAACGAGAGAGAAAGAGATTCAAAACACTCAACGGGGGGAACTTCTGATTTATGGCGACACGCTGGCGGACGCATCTCCCGGACCTCCCGGAAATGTGATATGCCCCGATGGTCCTGCTGCTGAGTGTCCGTATGGATCTAGAGCCACTGACCGGGACAAGCGTCGGAGATCGAGCGTTTTGAACGTGTGCCGAGCAAGGTCGTATGACCAACAATGAACAGTGAGTCGGGTTAAAGAGAGCATGAGAACTTAAAAAGAAAGCTACCCCCTGGGAACCGCGAAAAAAGCGAGCGGGGGAGGGGCCCTTCCCATGCACATGAACTAAACAATGAAATACTTAGGGGGGAGTGGAAGAAAAAGTGTTGAAATCTGTTTTGAGAGACTTACCAGAGCACGGATAAGCGTATGGGCATATTTCAGAGACTTTAGCAAGTTTTCATAAAAGTAAACAATCCATAAAGATGGCAGGGAAGAGGGCAGAGAAAGACAAACCAGCAAAAGTGAAACTAGCCGGGACCATGAGCCCTCGACCGGAAGAGGTCACTGAGTTCTCCAAAATGTTGGCAGACTCCTTGCGCTCTCTGCTGGACCAGATGACTAACATCAAACAGCAGCTGACGACTCTAAACCAGAATCTTGCAACTCAGCAGCTCCAACTGACTAAGACTTTAAAAGTAACGGAGAAAATGGCTGAGAAGGTGAAGGAAATGGACGCCAACACTAAAAAAGTAAAGAAAAAGGTGCAAAAGCTGGAAAAGAAACAAGCTTCGGAAGAATCACAACTTTTACAGCTGCAAATGGAGAAAGCAAATCTGGTCCTACGATTTCAAGGGTCCCAGAATTAAAAGGTTAGAATCCAAAGCAACTTCTGAGTGAAGCATTAGCCCCAGTTACAGATTTGAAAGCAGAGTATCTTGCAAGCGAAATGGATGTGGTCTATAGGTTCTATTCCGTGTACATCAAAAAGAATAATCTGCCTGGGGAAATAGTGGTTAGATTCTCAAGGCGACATATGAGGGATTCTATCTTGAAAGCAACTACAGGAACACCCTTGAAAATCGGGGACAATACTATATGGATTCTAAAAGACATTCCATTTGAAATAAGGCAAAAGAGAAAGAAATATAAAGACCTAATCCTTTTTCTACAAACAAACAGCATTGTCTACAGATGGTTAATTCCAGAAGCCGTCATTTTCAAACTACACAATAAAAAAATAAAAGATTGACACGGTTTCCAAAGCACGTGAGTTCCTGAGAGTGCAGCTGGGAGAGACAGACGAGGTCGAGAAGGAAGAAGATGACAGCAAATCCAGTGGCGAATTGCACTCAGTGTCTTCCGACGAGGACTCTCTTTCCGATAAGGGGGCGGCTGCCCCCAAACATACATATAAATTGAGGATTAGAAAAGATAAGACAAAATGAAGGCTGAAGGACTCTGAATTGTGCCTGAAAATTTTAGTTTTATTATGGGATGCTCTGGGGGTTCTCTTAAACAGTTAAACCATTGGATAAATAGATTAAAAACTTAGCATAACCGACTATGTTCAAAGGAATACTAGCAATTTAAGATTAACATTTGTTATGATCTCCTATACTTGGGGTTTTAGTTAGTAGTGGTTTTCTTTCCTTTCTCCCTAGATGTAATTACCCTTTCCTAATTTTTCGTTGTACTTTGTAGTCTATTAAAAATTGAATAAAAAATACCCTCCGGGGGGCCTAAAAAAACAAAAAAAACCCCACTGAATGGGATAGAGGAATCAACTGTATCACAACTAAACATAACTATATTTGATCACCTATTATGGAGAGCCAGCCACAGGAAGCACAAAGAGTTGCTTATAGTGACTAACTCTGCCACCACCACCTCAGCATTTAAATAGGAGATTTAAGACTAGGGGTGTGTTCACTGAAATTTCCAAGCCAAAAATATACACAGAAATCACTGTTTTGGGTCAGTAGTGATTTTCCAGAAAGGAAATGCAAATCTAGGGTTGGTGGTATAATAAAAACTCCTTCCCAGAAACAATCCGTCCCGTCCCGTCCCCTCCAAGTTTGGGCGCTTACCAGCAATGCAGCATGTGCTTATCTTTTTTCTGTGATCCCACTGATTTCTGATTTCCTGGACAATAGCATCTTCCCTTCCAATCAGATCCTTGCAAGGGAGGAGAACAGAGTGCCCTCAGCCAATCATTTTTGGAGATAAGCTGCAGACAGCTGACACTCTTTCACTCCATCAATTGTGGGAGCAGGACCCTTTCCCCCTCTGCAAGTAGAATGACTGGTGGCACCTTGTTCAAGGGCCTGTAGAACTGGAATCCATGGTCTAGTTTGTTTGAAATTTGGTTGGTCTTGAGTAGACAAGGCAGTCCTCACTCCCCTGCAATTTTGGTGTCATTTGGTTGCAAAACAGCGACACCAGCCCTGCACACACACGGGAATAATGGAAAAACTGCCGATCTTCTTCTTTCACTTTGTGAAACAAACAGACCACAACAAGGAAGTATGGCAAAAGCAGCATTTTCAGCAGAAAGGTAAAAACGTTTTTACTGTCAGTCACTGTAAGAGTAGGAAAGTGAAATGAATGTCAAAAGGTTTGGTGTTTTTTTTAATGCTTGTGGCCAGTGCCACTCTCACATGACAGGAATCAGTAGAGAACTCAGCCAGAGCAAAGAGGCATCTATCGCAGAGGTCTATAAAAATTGAACCCCTTGGTCCAATTCACTCAAAACTTGGGACATTTTTAGACTCAAGGAGTATGTTCCGTGGAAATTTCATGTCGTTATCAGATGTCAGACAAGGATGCATTTTATCTCTCTATCTCTCCAGTCTATATCATAAGGAAGCTGGACTTGATTTAGATGAAGGTGGAGTGAAAATTGATGGAACAGTAACAATTTGAGATACGCAGATGACACCACATTACTGGTACAAGATAGTGAAGACTTGAAATGACTACTGTCAAAGTTTAAAGCATTAAGTGCCAAAGCAGGATTACAGCTGAACATCAAGAAGACAAAAGTAATGACTACTGGGGAATGACACAACTTTTTGATGATGAATTAATTGAAATTGTTCAAGATTCTCTATTCCTTGGCTCCATCACCAACAAAAAAGGAGAATGCAACCAAGAAATCAGTAGGAGTTTGAGACTGGGAAGAGCAGCCGAAGGAGCTAGAAAAGATCCTTAAGTGTAAGGATGTGTTGCTGGTGACTAAAATCAAGATAATTCATACTGTAGCATTCCCTGTTGCTATGGATGGGTGTGAAAGTTGGAGAATTTATTTATTTATTTATTCTGGGATTTATATCCCGCCCTATCCGTACGGCTCAGGGCGGCAAATGAGGAAAGCTGACAGGAAGAAGGTTGATTAATGTGAAATGTGGTGGTGGAGGAGAGTTTTACTGATAGTGTGGACTGCCAAAAAAAAGTGGGTTCTAGATCAAATCAAGCCTGAACACTCCCTAGAAGCTAAAATGGCCAAACTGAGGCTCCCATGCTTGGTCACATTATACGAAGACAAAGAGTCACTGGAAAAGACAATAATGCTTGGAAAAGTTGAAGGCAGCAGGAAAAGAGGCAGCCCCAGCATGAGAGGGACTAACTCAATAAAGGAAACCACGGCCCTCAGTTTGCAAGACCTGAGCAAGGCTGTTAACAATAGGACGTTTTGGAGAACATTAATTTATGGGGTCGCTACAAGTTGAAAGTGACTTGACGGCAGTTAACACACACACACACACTTATGAACAGCTGCCCCACCCCGTCCAATAGACTTCACCATTGCAAGTAATGGTTCCAAAGCTCTGGAGCTCAAAAATCCACATGCGTTTGAAATCTGAGCCAGTAATGTCCTACACAAATATAAGCAACTAGCAGAAAAGCCCGTTGTGAAACCGATACAACGGGATGTAGAAAGATGTGGTCTGTAACGAACGCATAGGCTGGATGGTGGTAAGGTAAACAGTAGTGGTGGAGGGTGGGAGGGGGGTGGGGGAATGGCGGTGGCGGCCGGACGCCTCTGCATCCCGTTGCTGGCCCTGGAGTGAGTGGGGGGGAAGGGACCCGGCCTCCAGTTGCCGGCCCAGGAGTGGGTGGTAGGGGAGGGGAAGGGAGCGGGGGACCGGAGGCTTCTACCTCCTGTCTGTGGTCCTGGAGTGGGGGGGTGGAAACGGACCTGGCGGCCGGAGGCTTGCACCTCCAGTCACTAACCCTGGAGTGGGTGGGGGTGGGTGGGAGGAAACGGACCCGGCCGCCGGATGTCTGCCCTGAAGTGAGTGGGGGTGGGAGGGAAAACGGGCCCTGCGGCCGGAGGCCTCTGCCTCGCCGGCCCTGGCGTTGGGGTGGTGGTGGGAGGGGAAGGGACGATGCGGCCGGAGGCTTCTGCCTCACCGGGCCTGGCGTTGGGGGGGTTGTTAGGGGAAGGGACGCCGCAGCC